CATAAATAAATACATTTTCACTGCAAACTTTTCATCCTTTTCCTCTCTAAAGTCACACAGAACTACAGGCAAAGTAAAGAAAAATGCCCGTGTTAAGACAAAACTGAATTTAAAAACGTTTTTACCCTCAGAATTTGTGGCAGCATGGGAGACATCTCAGGAATCATAAATGTCAATTACAGGAACCAGCTTCAGGAGTGACCTTTGTGTTGAGCTTCCCAGTGCAAATAAATGTGATTAAAAAGCAAACAACCCCTGTCCAACAAATCTTGGGGGGTTTTTTGTGGGACTGATCTTTGCACCTGTAAAATCCAACCTTACTCCCAGGCTGGGACTCAGGGAAATGGAATTAAGGAATCTCCTTTTACCCTGGCCCTGTGAGTTAACTTTCACTAAGTGAATTCAAACTGCTTTTCAAGAAGTGAAAATCAGTGGCCAAAATTCTGGGTTTTTTTCCACTGTCCAGGACCTTGGCACCTCTGAATTTCTTCTTTCAGGGAAATTTGTGTCACAAAGCCCTGAGGAGCTGTTCTCAAATGTGAGCAGAGGGACAGCACTTGGGGGGAGTTAAACCCTGATTTATCCCAAATGGTGAAAAACTGGCCCCTGTGGATGCTGCTGCCAATTCCCTGGCCAAGCTCTGCTATGGAAAAGATGCAAGCAGAAATATTGATTTGAATCAAGTCTGAGTGGGGACTTTGGGTATGGAGGCACTGGGAGGACAAAGAAGAGATGAATAATCCAGGGCATCCCAACCTCACCTCCTCAGGCAGCTCAGGGCATGGGGTGGGCAAAGCAAAACTCCCTGGAGCCATTTAGGGATGAATTCCCACAGGAATGGGGCAGATGGAAGGGACAGGAGATCTCTCTAAAATAAGTTTCTTTTCTGAATTCTCTCTGCATTAGCTCAGCTGGGTCCCAAAGAACCTGACAAGGAATTCCCAAGGCACTGGGATGCTCTGACTCCCAAGTGGATTGAAAAGGAGAGAGCAAACCACGGGAAATAACAACATTCCCGGGATTGTTCACTGCCTGTAAGGAATCAGCTGCTGGCTCTGCTGAAGTTGTGTTTTTACCCCTCTTTGAGGAGGACACTGATTCATTCTGCCTGGGTTCTACACAGCCTGGGAGCTGTCAGATTGTAAAAGCAGTGACAATTCGGCTCTGAGAGCCTGATTTTCAATTCCTAGGCTCAGCTTGCATATTTGTAAAACACACACACACAGAGGAGATTTGGAGCCTGTACTGTGAGACCCATTTGGAAGTGCAGCTCTTGTTTGAGGAGTCTCACAGGGCTGAATTATAACACTTGCATGAGCACAGGAATTTGCTGAGGATGTGTGAAAACAAACACATTATCAGAAATACAATTTACAGGCATCCACCAAAAGGTCGATGGGAAAGCTCTTCCCGTCCTTTAAGAAGCAAATGGAAGAGAAAAGAGGAAAATTCACCCAGCATCATAGCACGAGTTCCCTGGCAAGAGCAGCCTCTAAAGGAATCCTCAATTAAATAGAAGATTTATAGAATTAAAGTTGTAATACATTATTGATTACAGGTATCTGATTGACTGCAGCCAAAAATCCTTCCCTGCCTGCTCCTCTAGAGCAGAGATTATGTGAACAAAACAAAAAGAGGGAACTGCAGGATGAGATCCAGCAGTAAATCCTGAGACACTCCAGGACTGATTTCAGAGCAAGGAAAAGTGTGTTTGTGAGATCCAAACTGACACTGTGGTTTAAGGCAAAAAAACCGAGAATATGTAATTGACCACTGGAGCCACTTTTTATGAGAAGGGCAATTTTTCTGCCTTGGTAACAACAGTGTTGTTTTACTGCTGTGTAAAGTCACTTCTGCTTGGAACTTGCAGCGTGTAGCAGGTAGCCGGGGTGGAAAATATGACATAAAACTCATCTGTTTTCTGAAGCATTCACTTAGAGATACCCAAGGCATCATTTTGGGCATGGACAGCACACAGGGATGGATGTTCTTAGTGCTGATGTGTGTTTCTGCTCCAACCTGCAGGGACAACCACAGCAGTACAATCAAAGATTTCAGTTTTCTCATGAGTTCCCCTCCTAAACTGTCCTAAAAAAGGAAAGTGTATACACAGCCCTCTGCACAGTGCAGCAGTTCCCAAAATTCTGCAGTGAGGATAAAAACACCCAGGGAATGTATTCATTTTCTTAGACAAGCTTTTAAAATAATAGTTTATTTTTTTTTTTTGAGTCAGTGGTGTATATTTAAAAACAATCTACTGTAAGAGTAAAAAGATTGTAGATAATAAAAAAACCCGAAGTGTGATGACAATAAAAAAACCACTAGAATACAAAGTTAGTTTCCTTCCTCCCTCCCAAAACCCCATCCCATCAGTCTGATATTTCTCAGAGCTTAATATCTGGGAAAAAAAAAAAAAAAAAGCTTTCTGTTTTTTCTTTACACTTTCAGCAATTAGGAAATTAAGAATACATAAAGCATTCTTTGCAGGCACATTAATTCATTATGACGTGAAAAGCAGGCACCATAAAAATTCAAACATTCTAAAAACCATCATATATACAAACACTGTACAGAATGATGGCACAAGGACAAAGTGATTCCGTTCAGTTCATCCTAATCCAACATGAAATATTACACAATAAAGAAAGGAAAAAGCTCTTCCTGTTCCTGTACTCAACATTTGGGTTCAGAATGACCAGGAGCCTCCTCCCTGCTGTTTTTTCTCCCTTACCCTCGTGCTGTTGGCAGCTCCAAGATTTCCTTGTTTTCCCCCTCATGGACACCCAGAAGATGCAGCTGAATGAAAATGGCAGTGGGTGATGACCAAAAATTGATTTTACAAAGCCCATTAATCACAGATTATCCTGAGCTGGGAGGGATCATCAGAGCAGCTGCTGTCCCTGCACAGACACCCCAAAAATCCCACCCTGGGCATCCCTGGCAGTGTCCAAACTCCTGGAGCTCTGGGGCAGTGCCAGCACCCTCTGGGGATGAATCTTTCCCTAAAATCCAACCCGAACCCCCCTGGCCCAGCTCCAGCCATTCCCTGGGGCTGTCCCTGATGATGGCAGTGAAGATTCAGTTCCTGCCCCTGCATTTCCCCCAGGATGATGCTGATGGCCCGAGGTGTCCCCTCGCTCTCCTCTCCTCCAGCTGAACATCCCGAGTGCCCTCAGCTGCTCCTCACACGGCTTCTCCTCAAGGCCTTCCCCATCCTGGTGGCTCCTTTGGACACTCTCTAACACTTTAATGTTTTATTTATAGTGTGACTGGTGCCAGCCTGGTATCACCCCCGTCACTGCCACCCTTTGTGCCCGACCCCTGAGCCAGCTGCTCACCCATCCCATCATGTGTTTCTCCAGCTGCAGGATGGACATTTTGTCCAGAAGGATCCCGTGGGAGACAGTGTCAAAAGCTTTGCAGAAGTCCAAAAGGATTCCATCTCCAGGCTTTGCTGGATCACCCTGCTGTAGAAGGAAATGGGGTTCCACAAGCAGGACTGTCCCCTCGTGGAGCTGTGCTGGCTGTGCCCCATGGCTGCATTGTCCTCCAGGTGTTTTCCAGGACCTCCCACAATAATCTTTTCCATGATTTTACTGCAGTCTTCCAGGATCCTCCTTCTTGCCCTTCTTGAAAATGAGGACACCATTCCCCAGCTTCCAGTGAGCTGGGACCTCTCTGGGTTCCCCAGACTGCTCAAAAAATCATCAAGGGGGGTTTTATGATGACATCAGCAGCTCTTTGAGGACTTTGGATAAATCCATCAGGGCCCACGGATTTGCAGGGATTCAGCTGGGGCTGCACATCCTGCAGTTTCAGGTTGACTGGGGTTGATCACTGTCACAGTCATGGTCCTCCAGCTCAGGGCACTGGGACCCTCTTGGTCTGTGACCCACGTTTTGCAGACAGAGACAAAGGAAGTGCTGAACACCTCTGCCATGTCCCTCTCCCTGTTTGTGAGGTGCCCATCCCCATCCTGGAATGGGCTGATGATATTTTTACACTGCCTTTTGCCATTGATATATTTGAAAAAAATTCTATTTTTTTGTCCCCCACAGTTCTGGCAGCTCCAACTGAGCTTTGACCAGGTGAATTTTCTCCCTACAGTGGGGAGCAGCACCTCTGTATTGTTCCCATGCCTCTGACCTTGCTTCCACTGGCACACACTTTCCTTTTCCACCTGATATCCAAGAGGAGATCCCTGTTCAGCCAAGCCAGCTCTGCCTCACCTGCCTGACTTCCAACATTTGGGAATTGTTGCTCCTGTGCCCTTGGGAGGTGATGTTTAGAAAGGGACCAGCACTGATGGACCCCAGCACCTGCAAAAACATTTTCCCAGGGGACCTTACAAATTCCCTGAGCAGCCTCATGGTCAGAGGGGAGGTTTTGCTGGCATTTTTCCTCCTCTCACCAGAGGTTTTAAATCGTGGTCACTGTGGCCAAGACAGCCCCAAATCTCCACTTTGCTCATTGCAATCAGGTTATTTACAACACAATTTCACAAATCAGTGGTGTCTGATTTTTAACCCTGGGCTAAAATCCCTGTTATTCAGGGAAATCCTACAGCAGCTTCACCTCAATGGGAAACCTCCTCTTGCCCTGAATTCCATGTGAATATTGTCATTGATTCCTATATACACTGAGATCAGGTACAAAAACTCTGCTCATTTGAAACTCCAGAGATACCCAAAATCTTTAGGTACAAAATTTCCAGCTCTCATTTTGATCTCCACGTTCAGCTCTGTGCCTGGTGCTATCCAGAAGCATGGGAGAAGGTTGAGGAAGAGGGTTCTGTCAGTTGATGGAGTTCCCAGTCTCAAGTAGAAATCCAGATTTCTTTCAAGTTATGGGAGGGAACAACCCCAAAAGCAGGGGGACGTAGTGTTGGGTCCGACACACGGCGAGAATTGGATTTCTTACGGAGTTACCATTGCACTAAATGTTAGATACTGCACACCTGAATGAGGTAAACATTACAGACCATCAAATACTTGGGGAAATGAATTGTTACAGCTTTATCTTTGGAAAAACAAACCCGTTTCCTTCTTCACTGGACAATCCCAGAGTCAACAGACGTTTGCTTGCGCGTCGTCTTGGGAGGCGGCGGCGGCGGAGTCTTGCTGGGGAGTGGAGGAGGCAGGTGCTGCAAGAAACCAATTTGGGCAGATGATGTTAGGAAAGAATGGAATTCTGCAACGTTTTTGTGTCCTCTCTCTCACTGCAAGAGGCAGCAGGTTAAGTGTGGAGCCCTGTGCCTCACAAAAGCCTCTCCCTGCTGGATTTGCTGTGAACACGCAACGCTCTCAGCCATTACTTTTAAATATAACTTTTACTTTAGACTGTGAAAAAAAAAACAAACCTCTCAAGAGTTCAGGATTAATTAGCTCAATATTTAAGGAAAAAAAAATCTTTTGAAAGCACGGGAGAAGTTTATAATTCCCCACTTTATATCATGATAGGATATTGATTTCTTGGTCCGTATCGATTGCCTCAGCCTCTAGGCACTCAGAGCTTAAAAGCCAAGCTGAAGCAATGGCTTCATTGCTTTTCCATTATGCTTTGGATTTTGCACAGTTAGAACAGAAATATTTAAACAAAAAAAAAAAACAAAAAAAGAAACAATTTAAAATCATTTAGAGAGATAAGTAACTCGCAATTTACTATTACTCACACAGTTATAATTAAAATACTCTGAACAGAAATGCAGAACGTTCAAATATACGTATTTCAAATCACTTTACATATCTCACAACAGAAGAGCATTCCCAGTTAGAATCACCAGCTAATTGGACAAATTAAAAAAGCCATTATGGAAATTAAGACTTTTTTTCCCTAAAGTTGAAACATACAAATGACAAAGTCTGTTGCAGAAAGAGCTGGAGCCCATTGCATTTGCAGGCAGGTTTTCCCAGCATTTGGGCTGTGCTGCAGTGTCACAGCTCATCAATGCTGCTCTGGCTTTATTTTTCCCAAAAATTCTCCCCCACTCCCCAGTCAGAGCCTTGTGTTCTCTTCCAAGGCCAAGGATGCTTTTCCAGTTGTTTGCTCCTGTCCTGCCTCAGGCAGCCCAGCAGCAGCTGCTGGCTCCACACGGGCACAGCTCTGCCCAAATTCCTTGGTCACCTCTGCAAGAACAGCCCAAGCACCTGCAATTCCTGATGGTTTGTCAGGATCAGGAAGATCCTGGTATTTAAACAACTGAGAAACCCCAGGGAAGTGCACAGAACCAAAACTGGATTTTTCAAAGCCATCCAAGGATGCTGTCCCAAAAAGAAGAGAGGTTCAGGGTGATGCCAGGACATCTCAGTCCCTCCTCTGCTCAGAGCAGCTCCTGGTGCTCCTGCAAGCTCATGACTGGCAGTTTTCAAAGATGAGTTAAGAGCAGAAGAAAAACAATCTTTAAGGTACTAAATATACTCTCCCAAGCAGGTCTGAAGTTACACGGAGTTACAAATCTGAGATTTCACCAGACAGTTTTATTGATCACAGACTAAGGGGGAAGATAGGAATGCAAACTGGCTGAGCCAGGCAGGCTGGATTTTTGCTGGAATCTCTTTCCTGTATCCTACCTGGCCAGCATCACTTTCCAATCCATTTTCCACCTTTCCTCATTCTTCCCAACTCTCCCCAGGCAAAGGAAAGAGGGATCCCAAACCACCTGAGCGTGTCTCTCCATTCTGCTCCATCCACTCTCCATTTCCCAGCCTCTCTTTCTGCCTGCTCCCAGCTTCCTCCTTGGCTCCAAAATGCTCTCTGGGACCTTGGAAATCCATTGGCTTTGTTCTGCTGTGGAGTGAGAATCTCTGAACCAGAAGTGAGGCACTGGAGCAGGGTGCCAGGTCTGCATTTCCCTGCCTGCCTGGAAAAGAGGCTCCCACACGTGGCACTGGGCACAGGGGTCACTGGTGGCCTTGGCAGTGCTGGGGGAACCCTGGACTGGATGATTTTAGTGGCCTTTCCCACCCTAAATGACTCCATGATTTCCCACAGCAGGCTCCCAATGGGCAGGACATGATGATTTCTGAGTCAGAAAAGTCAACAGATTATTAGGAAAGGCAGAGAAAATAAGAATTTCATTTTTTTTTACCACATGCAAAACTGAAGGTTTTTTTGGTTTTTAATTAAAATGCCACTGCTGATCTGCCTCTGAAGTGTTACAGCCAGAACCATTAAATATTTCCTCTACCTGAGCAAATCCCCTTCTGAACTTGGCACCTTAACTCCTGAATTCCTGCTAAGGCACCTCAATAATTATCAGTTGTGATCTGAAGATTCCCAAACCTTTGAAAACTTGTTCAATTACAGTCCTGTACCCGGGCAAGGGCTCTGGGAAATGCTGGTGGTCTGCAGAACATCCAACATCTCATGGAGCTGACATTCCCTTCCAACTCCATAAACCACGTGCCCCTCAGAAACACAGCACAAAATAGAAAACTTTCCTCTCTGCTTTGCTCTCTTTAACTTCATATTCATCACCAGGAAAAAAAAAAAAATCCAACTCTGCTGATAGCATCATTTGTGCAAATCCATTTTGAATTTAAATAACACTCTATTGGCAATAATTCTCAATTCAATTAGATCAAAGACATTTCTCAACCAAATGAGCCCCTTCATATTGATCAGAGAACAATCAAATCAGCCCTGAAAACCTGGTTCTGAAAAGCAGAGACAATGCAAATACAATGAGAAGAAGCTAAATATATATGCTATAAATAACAAGCTCAAAACCTACCCGAGCTCAGATTCTGCAAGCAAATTAGGCAGAAAGAAATAGCAGAGATAGGTAGATAATTATTATAATTGAATTTACAATTTCCATTAGAAAGTCGGATAAATTTAGCACATGTTCATTTATATAATAAGCTCCCAATGAATATATTAAGTAGGATGTGTAATGCTGCTTGGGGCAGCATTGTTGGGAATTTTGCAAGACAAAACATTGCATTATGGAGCTGGGGTAACTCCAAACCAGCACTCCCAGGGCTGATCCCTCCTTCCTTTTCTCCCAGGACAGAAAAAATTCAACCCCTTTTCCTCCCTCCCTTTAACACCACACTCACAAAAACCATTATCAGGTTTATAAAGTTCATTTTTGCTGCTCTTCCCCTTAGAAACTTTGCAATAAAAATAGAGTTTGCCTTGATTTTGTATTTAATGAAGACTCTCTTTGCAGAGCTCCTGTTTATATCTCGGTGGGTGATTGTGAACCTGACTCTTGCCTTTCCTTCCTGACAAACTGACAGAGGCTGCTGCTTCACATCCCAACCTATTTTGGGCAGAATTCTTGACTCAGGGGTACCTCAGGGGAAGCAGAAACCTTATGTAAAAGGCACATCTGCAACACAGAAACAATCTGTTCCTTCTGTTTCAGACATGAAATTGCTCCCATTTGTTTGCTGTTTTTTTTTTTCCTTTCCCTGATACAGAAAAGAATCAAGTTTAAAAACATTTGTCTGCATTCTCTTACAGAGAGATATAAAGTGCACTACACCAGGCGTGCTTGGGATGTAGTAAAAATCAATTACAGAAGATGAGAAAATGAATTTTTTTTTTTTTTTTTTTGCTACTCTGAAGCAGCAAAATGAGAGACGAGCTGTTTTTCATTCAGAGTATACTGTTAAAATAAACAACTGCAAAAAAAAAATCAAACAGAATTTGATTCTCCAGCACGGTCTTTGTGGCACTGCATGAGATTTCCTCCTGTGCAAGGAATTCTTTTTCTTTGAAATTCAATGGTCATCCATAGGACACGCTCTGGAGATCCAGTGAGAAGCACTTGGGTTTGGATTAAGGGATCTAATTAGGTGAGAACAGCAGAAATGGGTTGTAAATAGACCATCAGCCACTCAGGACTGTGAAAATGCTTTCCCTGAGTTGTTCCTTCAGCACAGAGCTGAGGTGCCTGACAACAACGTGGTTATTTCATGTCTGCAATGAAAAATAACATCTGAGTGTGAGGCTCTGGCAGAATAACTCTGCCATTCTCAAAGAGCCAGCAGGGAGAACAGCCCAACTCCACTAATGGCAGCCAAATTACAGACAGTTTAAGCTAATTGGCTGTTTGACCCAGGGAGCAAAGTTCTGTGCAAAATCCAGCAGGTAACTGATGTGAAATGACTGTTTAGCCCCTGGTTCATCCATCATCAATTAGAGTCTCATCTGACTGTGTGCCACTGCCACTGCCTGCCCTTGCTGGAGTGCACTGGAGCAGGGAGGGGGATTTGAAGGGTTCTCCTGCAGGGATGGACTCAGTGTGTGCCCACCCCTGAGCCCTCACAGGGCAACAGCAGAAATGCCTCAAAATGGGCAACCTGGAACTGCTCCACGTCATTGTTCCAGAGCAGATCAAAGAGGCTCCTCTGCTCTGGAGCCAGGCTGGAGAGTTGGGAATGTTCACCTGGACAGGAGAAGATCCAGGGAGAGCTCAGAGCCCCTGGCAGAGCCTAAAGGGGCTCCAGGAGAGCTGGAGAGGGACTGGGGACAAGGCATGGAGGGACAGGACACAGGGAATGGCTTTAAGCTGAAGGTGGTTAGGTTTGGATGGGATATTGGGCAGGAATTGTTCCCTGGGAGGAATTGTTCCCACAGGGTGCCCAGATTTGCTGTGGCTGCCCCTGGATCCCTGGCAGTGCCCAAGGCCAGGTTGGACACTGGGGTTGGAGCACCTGGGACAGTGGGAGGTGTCCCTGCCATGGCAGAGGTGGCCCTGGATGGGATTTAAGGTCCCTCCCAACCCAAACTGTTGGATGATTCTGTGACTTCCCCCCATCTCTGGCAGGCTCCTGCCTGGGGGATGCTCCTGCAGGGGACAATGGCAGTGGAGGAGGGCAGAGCTGGACCTGACAGGGATCTGCACCCCTCATGCAGGGAGGACCTGGCTCCTGGAGTGTGACAGCTCTTCTGGAGCACAGCTAAAGCCACTTTCCCTCTGTGGAAGCACATTCCTCCATGTGGACACCATCAGTATTTTGCCCACACTGGCTGGTAACTCCATTTCCCCTGCACTGCTTCCCTGTTCCAGTCTGTGCACAAACACTCCTCAGGAGTGAGGAGCAAAACACTCAGAATCAGCTTTGGACTCCAGACTGACCCTGAATTCCTCACTGAAGGCCCAGGTCCTGCAAGAGAGATAAACCAGCACATCAGCATGGCCTGATCCCATGGGGACAGCAGGACGTGGCCACTCCCTGAACTGAATCAAGGGACATAGCCCATGTCTGGGCAGACAGCAGGACACAGATTTCACTCCAAATCCTGTAAAAAGCAGTGGCAGTCCATTGACTTGGAGACTTATTAAAAAGTAAATTAATTCTTCAGAAACTCTTTGCTCAGCAACATCTGAACTCACCAAAGAGTGAGGGACTGGCACAGGAGGAAGGGCTTGCAAGGTTTCCCATCCCAGCAGGCAAAGATAATGTTCAGATGGCAAATAAACCCCGTATTTTATTTCATTTTTTCCTTCTGGGCACATTATCCAAATTCTCCTGCAGCTCTGGGGCTGTGCCCATTCCCTGGGGAGCCTGGGCAGTGCCCAGCACCCTCTGGGGATGAAACTTTTCCTGATATCCAACCTAAACCTCCCCTGGCCCAGCTCCAGCCATCCCCTGGCTGCTGGCCCTGCTCACACACACAGAGATCAGAGAGGAGCTGCAGGCTGCTGCTGCAACCCCTCAGGTTGTGCTCCCTAATTCCCTGCTCCCCCACAGCTCCAGCTGCCTGTCCAGCCTCTTTGTCCCTGTCCTCATGAGGACAATGCATTTGCTGAAGCCCTTTAAGGTCAGTTTTTGCTCACTGCAGCTGATACAAGATTCAGTATTGCAGCACCTGCACTGCAACACATGAAAAATCCCCCTGGGTTGTGCCTTTTGTGGGTTATATCTGAATATATCATCCTGTTATATCCCAATAAACAACCAGAATAATCCCCATACAGCAGACAGACAGCCCAAGACTGTTCTGCTCCTCCAGGCTTCAGCCATCCCCACATTCCACCTGTGCTGGATTGATGGAGATGTTCCCATCCCAACCATTATCCCATGCTTAGGAAGTGTTATAGCCAATATTAGCAACCCAAGTGCTCCTTTGTCTATTTTCTTTGAGCTCCTTGCCTGCTCTGAATGCTAAGCAGGAGCTTGATTTGTATGCAAGGGTGAGGATGAACCCATAAAGAATGATAAGTGCCTAAAGGAATCCCTTGATGTAATAATAATCCTTGCAGGAGTCGTAGATTTCTTTTTTTTTTTTTTTTTTATGTTCCCATATATTATTAAGGACATTTTTAGCAGAACAAATCACAGGGAGCACGAAAATATCTACAAGGGTCTCAGAGTTAACAAGGAGTAAGAGACAATCAGGAAATGATAATGAGGTGATCACCTGGATTAAAGACTTCAGGTGGACCAAGGTAACACTGGACTCTGAATATCTGAGATTGCTGCCTCATAAATGACATTATTGCCTGCAGTTTGACTTGGAGCATCTGATCCCTTTCTGGCTGCCTGCTTTTGAGTTCACTACAGCACTTTTCCTGCCTCTCATAACCCACTGCAAGACAACCAGAGTGAAAAACACAATCATTCCTCACACAAAAAGATATTTCCAGTTTAAAAGCTACTCAGATAATCTTATCTCTAATAGGTTTTACTGATTTTTCTTCACTGATACAACGGCAGTGTAATTTAAAAGATGATCAGTTTACCAGGCAGAGAATTATCCAGTTATGAATTATGGAGCTATTTGACCCATGAAACATAAGTCATTAAAACTGTGGAGTGGGATTTAATCACGGCAGCAATGAGAATTTACCCATCTGATCTTTCATGTCCAGCACTATTCATTTTCTTGATGTTCTTTAAAAGCTTCCTTCCTACCAGCCTGATGAAATAAAGGCACAGAGTGACTTTTTGAAGATTAGAAACTCTCTCCAAAATCAATTCTCAACCTAATATAGAATCACAGAATCTGCTGAGGTGGAGGGGACCTGCAAGGATCAAGCAGTCCCACTGCTGGCCCTGCACAGGACAGGTGGCTCTGGGACACATCTGCTTTGGATCCTTCTGCCAGGCTTTGAAAGCACATTCCTTGGTCTTGGAAAGCTTATATAAAAATACAGATGCTGAAGAAAACTTGGGGCAGTTACATAAGAAGATGTAGCCTGTATCTAATGATTGCATTTCTTAGCTATTAAATCCTGATGCCCTTCAACACCAGATGTTAAAAAATGGACTCTGTTCCTACAAAGTGTAGTAAAAAAAATGAGAGGAGCTTGAGCAGTCAAGACTGGAAAGAGCAAAAATATTAAGAGCTGAATAAAACCTTGCAAAAAACTACAGGAGAATATTGCTAGTATATTTATGAAGTCCCATTGAATGATGTGGAAACGCTGCTTGTGGCACAGGTACAGGAGCTGCACAAGGTCACAGAGCACATCAGGCTGGGTTATCTCCAGGTCTGGGCTGCCAAAACCACACCCCCATGGCTTCTGGGATTTGTACAGTAAATAAAAACATCTATCCCCAAAGTGGAAACCCCTTCCAAAATCCTCATCAATCAGGAAAAAAAAAAAACCAAAAACCTGGCTGCCAAGATTTTATTTATCATTGTTTAATAGTTTCTAGCTAAAAACTGAACTCATCCTAGCAATCCTGAGCTACTACCACAGCCTAAACCTTAGCACACAAAACGAATTTACCACTGTGCAGTTTATGCAGAAAGCAGTTGAAGAAATGTGAATCCTAATGTGAATTTCTCAGCTTTCTTTTCCTGAAGGTTCCTTAGACAAACCTCCTGGCAGCCCTGCTGTACACTCTGTAATTTTCCACTTAGAGGTCTGGATTCAGGACAAATGAGAGCTGGCCCCTGAGACAGAGGCTGGGGAAATGGGTTATAAGGTTAGAAGTGCAGTAAGGTTTGATGGAAATGAGAGGAAAAGTGAAAATATTGACTAAAATAATCCAGCCATGGGGAACAACTATGGAAGAGAGGATGGGAATAGAGAATTTTTCAGGATATGCAAATAAAGGGTAAAACATGGTGTTTTGAATATCTCTATTCACACTCCTGAAGTTACTTCTATACCTGCTTTTTTTTGTTGTTGTAGGGTTTTTTTTTGGTTTTTGTTTTTTACTATTCAGCCTGAAATGCTAAAACAATTCAAAAAAAGACAATTCCTGTAACAACAAAGGCACAATTTCAGCCATGGAAAAGCTGAACTCATGCATTGGGACAAGCTGTGTTAAACACAGCTATTCCCAGAGTCAAACCAAACTCCTGCCTGACTCCTCCTCTGCTGAGATCAGAAATGCTTTGTGTTGCCATGAAATTTGCTGGAAAGGCAAAATACTCCACAGAATTTCCCAGGAATGGTGAACTTCAGAGGAATCCTGGATGACACCTCTGCAAACAAAAAGGGATCAGTTCTGCTGGGAAGTTTTCCACAAAACAGCTCAGTTAAAATTCGACATTTCAAAGTCAAAGAAAACTTGTGACCACGTGGGGTGTCACTGCCCTACTCTGATTTGATTGGTAAAAAATTCAATTAATTTCCCAAAGTCAAGCCTGTTTGGAGGCCAAGGGGTGAATGATCTCTCCCTGTCCTTATCTCTCTATCCATGAGACTTTCATGACATTTTCTCTCCCTGCCCAGCTGAGGAAGGGAGTGATGGAGCATCTTTGATGGGCACCAGCCAGGATCCACCCTCCACACCCCTTGAAATGTTTTTTTTTTTTTGCCCATAAAGAAAATAAAAAGCATTTCTCAAAGTGTTGCTTAAAGAAAAGGACCACATTCTTTTTAAAAGCTTCCAGCTACAGGAACCAAAGCAGAAAAGGTGAATTTTCCTCAGAAAGCTGCACACTCTGTTGGTGATGAGGTTTTTGAGCTCCTTGCCTCAAAGGGGACACGAGTTTGCCTCAAGGAAATGAGTGAGTGGTGCCTGAACATTGGCACAGCAGAGCTGCAGGAAGGGAAGGTGGCAGGTTCATGTTTTATTTCCTTTCCTGACACAGGACTGAAAGGCTTTAAATCCAATTTGCTGCTCCTGCTGGCTCAAGCTGCCTGTCCAACAAACCTGACAACATCAGCTCTGGAATTCCCAGAATGAATCCAACTTTCCTTCAGGTGGATCCTCACCCTGCTGACCCTGCAGAGCCCTCTCAGGGATGCAGGAGCAGCATTGCAGCTGCCCTGGGATGGCTCAGGGAGCCCAGAAGTGCAGGAGGGATCATTCCCTGGGCACTCACCCTCTGCTGGGCAGGGGGGGACGTGGTGGGGCTCATCAAATCCTGGCTCTCCAGGAGGTTCCCATAGTCAGCTGTGCTTCCTTTGAGAGGCAGAGGAGGGGGAATGTCAGGGATGTCAGAGCTGGACATCCCATTCAGCTCCAGATCTGAAAAAAAACAAAAAACAACTCTGGGTTAACTCTGCCATCCCCAACTCTTGGTGATGTCAGAACAGAACATCCCATTCAGCTCCAAATCTGCAAAAAAAACCCCAAACAAACAACTCTGGGTTAACTCTGCCATCCCCAACTCTCAGGGATGTCAGAGCTGGACATCCCATTCAGCTCCAGATCTGCAAAAAAACAAAAAAAAAACAACTCTGGGTTAACTCACAGCAGCTGAACCCTGCAATTCCACAGGGCTTTGGGCTGGAAGGGACCTCATGGATCATCCAGTCCATGAGCCAAGCCCTGTCCAACCTTGGACTCACTTTAAAATACCCTCAAAATACTTGAACAACCCCCTGTTTTTAATGAAACATCATTTTTGTTTTCACATTTCCCACCAAAATATTAATAGCTTAGAAAATATAATTCTCCCACCTTCAAGCTCGCCTCGCACATTAAAACACAATAAAAGTTTTGCAAAGTGCACGAAGAAAATATAATCTGGCCAAGTTTTATTGACTTTCCCCCAGTAAAATAAAAGCTCCCTGTTAATAAAATGCACAAATGAAAGCCTGGAATTAAGTACATCTCTCTCTCCAAAACTTTCAGGCTCCAGGTAACTATAACAAATGAGCAGCCATTAGTTGTTGAGTAAATAAAATCATGCACGAGAAAGTACCAAACATTTATTATTCCTGTTTGTTGGCTAGAAAATTCCTTTTTCTTAGCAGATAAATCCTCCCAGGTATGTGCTGGAGAGGCAAATAGCCTGAGGGACAATAAAGTTTATTGAGGCCTGAGTGATACATAGATTTTTGGGGAGAAATGTCCCCATGGTGTATTTCAGGGTAATTCAGTCATTTTAATACACTCATTTTAATTCAGCCATTTGAATAAAATCCACTGCGATCTCTACGAGATAAGAAACCGAAATGATTCTTTTATAAATGAGGGAATTTTGTTTAGGAAAAGGAAGACAAAAAAAAAAAAAAGGTGATTTCTATTTTATTTCACTGGGGTGATTTGTGAAACAAGAGAGGACTTGTTTATGCAGATGCTTTTATTGCAAAGCTCATATCAGTATTTTATTAAAAGTGTGATTTTATTGTTCTCTAAAATGGCCTCTCACAACATGATTTAACTCTAAGGTGGCTCTATTGATTTGTCACTGAAAAGTGTAATTTTACTCCTCATCCTTCCACCTGAACTCTTGACTACACTGAGAAAAGGTTATTTTCCATCCTGGGACTCCACATTTTCAGTTCCTTCCTCTCCATTAGGCTGAAAATGTTGTTTTTCCACCAGGACCTAAATTTCTCTTTGCTTTTTCCATTGCTCCTGGTTTTTTTATCCTTCCCTTTCTACAGAGAGGATTTCTCCTTTCCCCAGACATTCTTAAAGAGTTTCCTTTCTGCATCTCCATGAGAATCTCCTCCTGCTCAGCTCAGGGAATGAAACTGCAGCTGGAAATCCACGTTGTGCATTTGGAACTAAAGATTGATGCTGGCAATGAACTTCCCTGTCCATTCTGGATGAATTCCCCACCCATTCTAAAGAACTCAGGAATGTGAGATCTTTAAATGTCACAAAACGACTCCTGCACATCTCCCCCACTACTAAACATCTCTATCTTAGCTAAATAGATTTATATCTGGATTTTTTGGGTTGATTCTTCCATGCAGTTTAGGATAATAAAGGGAAATGTTTGGGAAATGTCATTTTCTTTTGTTAGTTTTATCAAAACCTTGAATCCTGCTTTGGAAAGAGAAACCTTTCCATATTTACCAGAAACAACCCATGTTTTTGAGCCTCTTTGTAGACTTTCCTTGGGAAACTGAGTGGAATAAAACACAATTTCCCCAAAATAAAGTAAATTTAACTGCCCTGAACACTTCAGCTTTGCATTCTATACGGTATTTTTTTCAACTAACAAGATTTAACTTCTTCCATGATAAAACTTGTGACTTCACCAATAGGATGGTGACACCCATTTTGTTAGGAATAACCCAAATCTTTTGTTTCTTTTAACAAATGCTTGGAAGATCCATGCAAAGGCAGATTTTCAGGGAACATCTGAGGAATGTTTTCAGCAGGGCTGCAGAAACGTGGAGGGGATGGAACCCAAGTGTCCAAGCAATCGTGTCCTGCTCTGCTTTTCCCTTTTTCCCTGCATTCCCCAGCTCCAGCTGGGATTTCCTGCAGCCTGTCCATGGCACCTTCCCAACCTCCTGCTGCTGAAGGCAACCAAAAATCCCTGCAAATGTGGGCACAGCATCTCCACCCAGGGCACGGGCTCATAAAATACACGAGCAACGTGGCTGCAGTTATCTGGCAACTGCTCAGTGGAACAACAAAGTTCTATCCTGGAAAACAATGATTTACCCAAATCTCTGATCTTTCCCAAAATTCAGTGAAATCCAGGGAATATCTACTCTGAACAAAAGCTTCAGGAATTCTCGGGGTTGTCCCAAGAAAATCTATTTGCTGCAGATCTGTTCATTTCCTCAGCTGAACTAAACCCTCCTAAGATGGTCACTATACAAATAATTTCCCCCCAAAATTTCTGGTGTGCTCTCATTATTCAATGAAATTCATTATTCAAGGTGGTTCATCAGATGAGTGTGCTCTGAATATTTATTTCTTGCTGGACATGTGCCACTGGGAAGATTTTGGAGCTGGTAAAGAATCAGTTAAGGGACCCTTTTTCCATCTCACCCTAATGATCACATCTTACACTCCCTTCTCCCAGATTGCCAGCTAACAGGCAGCCAGGATTGCTTAGCAACCCATTAACTGCTTTTAGCCAATTTGGGCTCTGAAAGAATTTCTTTATCCTTGGAATTCCTAAAAAATTTTATCACTGTAATTCCTGAAATGATTCTGGACTGGTGCAATAAGCTGATCCTATTTTATGTAACAAGCACCAATCTCTAGCACAAAAATATTCTCAGAAAATAGTAACTTCAGATACTTTTTTAAAAAGAGAAATAAATTAAGTGTTAATAAAATGTACATATGAACAAAAAAATCCAATTGAAGTATCTTTTGCAGCAATATATATCCTTTAGTTCTCTGTATTCCCAGTTTTTAGCATTCTGGTGGTTTTTGGCTATAAAATTGTAAAGAAAGGTGAAAGTTACAAGTTCATTGTAATCAAAATATTTACTTTGTGTGTCTGACTATTTAAGATAATAAGTTTTAAAGTACCAAAACCAGTAAATAAAGCAGTGACCTTGATGGAATAAGATTTTTTTTTTTCTGAAGACTGATGATCTCTTCTCCTCCTGACTAAGACTGAACTTTTGACCACTGGAGTAGGATTTGGGTACATGCATCAAAAATATCTTTTCGTTTTTTGTCACATGCTGGCAGCTGCAAACTCTAAATAACAGGTTTTGGGAAAGAGCACTGGGCAAGAAATAGGTGTTGGATTCCACCCAGTTCTGCAATAGGGTTTGCTGCAGACTGAAGCAAACAGATGATATTTTCCAGAAAAGCTGACTGATACATGTCAATGTCAAACAAAAACTACTTCAAAAAGCCTGACCTTTATTTTCCTTTCTGGCTTGTACTCACAACATATCAAAGAGAAGTTTTTTTAATGTACAATTACAAAAAATATAGTTTTTTCAGCCTTTATGCTCCAAAACATTCAATATGGGATCAAGTACAACATGAATTTTTGACTGTCACTCTACACCTGATTAATTGTTAATGATGACTTGATTCAGTGGAATGATTTAGCTTGCTTTTGTAAAACACTGAATGAATTTTTGCTGGCAAAGCTAAGAGGTCGGTGGGAGCAATACCTGATATTTCTGGCGGTCACCTGGTGACGGCGAAACTCAAAACCAGGGTGTGAAGAAACACTCAAGGGAATCCACTTGCAGCCTGAAAAAAGGAAGTGATTTCCCAGGAAAGACTTACTGGGCTGGATGCTGAAGGCCAGTTTGGTCCGAGGGGTGATGGGGGGCGGGCTCAGCTGGGAGCTGGGGGGTCCCGGGGACACCGAGAATCGCCGCTCGCTGCACATCACGTTCAGCACCTGGCTCTTGGGTCTCTGCGGCCTCAGGGGGCTGATCTGGGGACCAAAACCAGCGAGAGGGGGACACAGCAAGGCAGAGAAATGAGTGTCAGAGCTGGAAGTGCCCTGCTTTGATGGCTCAGCAGGACGAGGGCAGTGCCAGCAGCCAATGGTGCCGATTCCCAGCTCCAGGCTCTTCCCTTCACAGCCTGCTCTGCTGTGCTGAGCCAATTCCCCAAACACCTGTTTAGGAACACCTGAGGAACTTTAGTGTCTCACACCACATTATACAGCACTCCAAATCTTCATTTTTTTTCTCACACAGATCTGCTTTCCTGTTAAAATTTCTCTCTTGAACCACTTCTGGTTAAAGAAGCTCTGTTCTGATGAAGACATCATCTCTGTCCAGAAACACTTTCTTGGTGGCTCCTGACAGTGCTTATATTTAATTCATTGAAATATCTCTCCTTTTTATTTTGCTCTGGCTGCTTCATAATCCATTCAAATTTTCTATCAGGAACCCTCAAAAGATATTTGTAATCTGATGGGCAACTTTTGCTTTAGTTAAGTTTTTAGTTTAAATCTTAGCTCTACTGATTTCCCCATGCACCACCCTCATAGAACAGGAATCACAGTGAAAAAAAAAATGAAGCTTTTATTTCAAACAGATCCCAGAAAATGGAGCAGCAGCCTAACGTTAAAAGGGGAATTACTCCAAGGTGTGCACTGGGACAAAACAGAAAGTGCCAGCAGCAATCCAAGGCCTTTTCAAAGAATTTTGTCATTTCCCAATGTTTGGGTTTCTATGAAGCATGTTGGGAAGTAGAAATCTCAAATTTTCTTTTCAGAAAACAAACCCTAAAAGGCTTTGCATCAAAGGTTGTGCCTGTGAGACCCTTCTACAATAAAAAAAATGACCAAAAGTATGGATCTTTTCTTTGGAAATTTCATCCAGACTTCAGGGTGACCTCTAAGAAAATTTTTTGATGCTAAAAATCAAATCCTAGAGACTCCCAAGGTTTCTGCTTTCCACAGCCTTTAAAGCATATTTTTAGTAGAATGGATAAGCAAAGCCATCACTTTTTCAGGGACAGATAATTATAAAAAAGCAACTAAGGAAAACATGTCAGTTGGTGAGGGAAACATGCCAGAAATGAGAGAAAAAACAAGTGGAAGCAGGTGCCTAAAACCCACTGGAGGCAGAACCCCAAAAACCAACTGGAGGCAGGTGCCTAAAACCCAAGTGGAGGCAGGTCCCAAAAAACAGCTGGGTCCTCAAAAACCAAGTGGAGGCAGGTGCCTAAAAATCAGCTGGAGGCAGGTCCCCAAAAACCAAGTGAAGGCAGGACCCCAAAAACCAGCTGGTTCCCCAAAAACCAACTGGAGGCAGATCCCCAAAACCCAGCTGGAGGCAGGTGCCCAAATTAAGCCCCTCTGTAATTACTGCAATAAATGTGAACTTCTCCTGTGATTGCCAATGCTGGGCCTCCTCTGAAAGCTCCACATAAATCACAGATCTGCTGAGGAATATGAGCTCTTGGGAGGCCACCAATCAATCAATCAATCAATCAATCAATCCATAATGAAGCCATTGCTAATTGTTCCTGGTGTAAGGAAGGGCAGATCAATGGGCAGTGATGTTAGACACCAGCAGATCAATAAAACCCAGCCTGTTGTGATTCCCACCTGCAGCCTTGGAGGGCTCTGTTAAGGACCTGGCCTCTGAGCTGGGTTTGCTCCCAGCTCCTGGGATCAAAGCACTAACAAGGACAATTGATGTTCAAGAAGTTGATTTGATACTTCAAAGCAGAGAATAAATCTCTAGGAAACGATGAAGATATTGCTGATCATCTTCACATACTCAAGTGCTTAATTTATCTTTGTTGTTTTATGTAATTAAGGCCTGAGGTTTGATCAGTCAATAAATTCACGGTGAGTGCAGTGAAATTTAGGGAAGAATATTTCAACCATGCAATTAAACAGCCTCTGAATGGCTCCTTTTCCATGCAAATCTGAAAGCTCCATGAAATAATTCTGCAGTTTTAGAATTTCCCCATGTTCTTCCATGGTGATTCAACTGATTGGAAAAAAGAAGATTCCAGAAAAGACTGGAAACATTCTTTTCTTTAGACAACATCATTGTTGGGAAGAGCAGCAGGAGCTCTGCAGAGATGGGGATGGCCACTGGCATCTCTCTCACTTCATATTCTCTAGAAATTTGTCTTCTGCTGTAAAATCCTCAAATATTTCAGAAATCAGAACTAAGAATCTGTTAAAAACTTCACCAAATAACTGAAATGTTTTAATTGAATGAGTGACAGCACAACGAGCTGTAAAATTCTCAGCAGAATGAATCCAGTATCTGTAATAAAAAAATTTAGTTAGCTAAAAGTATTAATTACTAAAATGTCACTTTAGAAACTTTTCAAAGTTTAATTTCTATTTCTAGTAAAATCTGTACTCCTAACTTTAAAAAAAAAAATCTTTTTTTTCCCCCCTCTCTGATTTTAATCCAACAAATTTCTTTCTTCTTCCAAGCTCTTAATGCAGGAAGAAGGAAAATGTCTTTTTTCTTCATACAGCACAGTGTTAAAAGTGCTTTGGGAGTAATTTCAGTTTAAAAAGAGAACTTGCACAGGAATGTTGAACACTGGGAAAACTGAATTCCTACCAAATTTCCCTTCATATCATTAACAGGGGATGCCTCCAGCATGCAAAAAAATTAAGACAAATTTTATCTTTAAACTCATCCTTGATATTATCTGTTCAAAATGCCAGAAGACAGCAGTGGGAATTGGGCAAGCACTGGTGTAAAGTGATCCCAAAAGAGTTTCTTCAGCTTCACCTCGACATGAACTCCCCTCACACCAAACCTTCCAAATGGACTCAGTCATCTTGGAGCTCATCAAGGCTTCTGCAGAGGCTGAAAAGGGAGAGTTTTTCTCTCAACAGCAAACTCCTTTTCATATTATTGATCTGTGGACTTGAAGAAGCTCAAAGTAGCTGTGAGTAACCAGTTCTGACATGTCCATAACCAGGGGAATATTGCTCACACCAGTCAGCCACTGAAAGCTCCTTACTGGGATGACTGGAAGAACTTGAGTCAAATCATGCTGGGCTTTACTGATTTTTACTCCTCAGGTGCCAAATGGGAATATGGCCTGAGGGATTATCTTGCCCTCCTTTCCAGCTGGAATTTCCATATTTCCATTCATAAACAAGCTTTTCCAATGTCCAAGACCCCTGAGAGCTGAGGGTGACCTCGTAGTGACATCAGCTGGCTCCCCAGCATCCCTGGATGCCTCCCAACTGCTCCAACTGACTCAGCTGCCCTGAAATACAATTTTCTCCTTCTGTGACATCCCATGATGGCTCTGCTGGTCCATTTGGCATCTGGGAGATGCCAGTGGAAGTCCTGCCATGGTGATCCCACTCCTCAATGAGTCCCAACACAAGTGCTGCAAGGTGCAAAATGAAATGCGTGGCAGTAAAATCATGGGACGTGGAAATCTGGGCAGTGATGCTCACCAGGCTGGCTCTGGCAAGAGGAGTCTCCATTTTATCAAACCTTGCAAAATTTACTGAAGTCAATGAAAAAACTCCTTGGTTTCAAAGGTGAAAAAAAAAAAAAGCCCCCCAGATGGGATTTTATTGGAGTTTCTGACTGGGAACATCAAACACAAGAACTCTGATTTTTCAGGATGTCCCAACATATGTGTGAGAGATTAACTCATCTCTGGGTGGAAAAGGAGGGCAAAATCCAGAAAACAGAGGAAGTGTGGTTGAACATTTAAATAATATCTTCCTATAAATACCAAACAGAAAGAATTTAAAGGATCCAGTTATCACAGGTGAGAAATTGTTTCAAAATCCAATATCAATGACACAGCACCAACAAGACTCTGCTGAGTGCAAAGCTCTACAAGTACTTGTGCAGATCTTGAAAAGAACATTCCATTTATTTCTGAGAGGTAATTTTAAACTCTTGGCCTCCAAACAGGTGTCCAGACAGAGATTTGGAGGTCACAGTCAGTTCATGCTCTCCCTGCTCCAGCTTTAGACATCCCTGCTTTCAATTTCCCAGCTCCAACTTCTCAGGTTACCTAAGCCTTGAGGACAGTTCCAGTGAATTAAATCTAAGCCAAGAAGAGAGGGTTTATGAGAGATATGTCCTGGTTTTAATATCCTTACACACAGGAACTGCTCAGGATTTTCTGCTCCAAACAACCCTTCAAGGACACGTGAGTGCTGCCAGAATGACCTTGGAATATCCCACCAAACACTGTCCTGCAGCTGAAATATGGGCAAATCCATCCCAATCTACTGGGAACCAGCAATTCCAAAGGCTGCTGGCATGGCAGCATTTATTTCAGCTATGCTGTGCCATCTGCTCCTTTATCAAATAGTCACACAGAGCTTTGGGTGAAGATTTTTCAGAGGATCTTTTCCCCATTGTAAACCAAATCTGCATTTTTGATTCATTAGCATGTATATTAACACTGTGGTATATCCCCTCGGAGTTATTTCTGGTCTACAAAGGATCTAAATGGTAAAAATCAACATTTTGATTTCAAAAGAGAGAGAACATGGCTCAGAATTAGATGAAGCTTTCCTTGCTAATAAAGTTACCGTTTCTGAAAGGATCACTGCTTCAGCCTGCTGCAGAGAAATATCAGTAGATTTAAATTCTTTATCAAATATCTCTTGATGCTTGCTGTTCCTCTTCTCCTTCTTCTTTTCCTTTTTATCTTTATCTAGGTCATCCTTGTCCAATTTATCTTGCGACCTAGAATGCATCTTTTTTGGCAGGAGGGGCTCCAGCACGAACCTGAAGAAAAACGTTGTTGCTCAGATCAATAAAAAGCTGTTTTCAAAACAACTAATTTTTATTTACATATTTCCCAAAGTCTCACTTGAGTTAATGAGGCTTTGCTAATCCAGGAAAACTCATTAGAGGGAGAAGGAGGGGGCAGAAGGTCACAACAATCATAATTGTCTTGTAATAAAAATTACTGCAGAACTGCTGGAGAAGTGGAGCTGAGGTTTCCCCGCTCTGCAGTAAATTTATTGGTTTCTGGCTGCACAAACTCCTGAATTTCACATTAAAAAAATGGGTTTCTCATTCAGCACTGCCACTCTCCATGCTGTGGCACCTGGAAACTCCAGTCCCACCCCCTGCCATGGGCACCTTCCACTATCCCAGGGTGCTTCAACCTGGCCTTGGACATTCCAAGATTTATTTTATTTTATAAATAAAAAAATAAAAAATACCCCCACTAAGATCACACCTAGAGAAATTCACACTGGCAGATTTTAAGACTGTCTCAAAACACCAGGTTACAAAACAAAAACCAACCCCAAAATTCCCATGGAAGGAGACACTTTTTAGCTCTGGAAAAGCATTTCCCATGCCATAGGGTGCATGCAGGTATGGGCCACAACCTTTGCTATGAAATTCCAGAGTATTCATATTTCACACAATTTGCAGTGACATTATCCTAATCCCCACCATTAGCAGCAATATCCCAAATTATTGTTATTTTTTTATTGTTATTTCCACTCTACACCAGCTCATTTGATGGGAAGATGCTCAAGGCAGCACCTGCAACAATAATGTGCCCTGAGCCATTTCCCAAAGCCTGAATCCCACAAGTTTATTAATCTGATTTTACACACAGGGAAAAGGCAATAATTTGCCCAGGGCCACAAAGAACTTTCAGTGGCAGAGCCCAGAGCAGAGCCCAGCTCTCCTAACACCAGGACTTTTTACAACCTGAGTTGTGTATTTTGGTCTGGGTGGTGCCAGCACCTCCAAAGCCAACTGCAAATTTTCAAGAGGAATTTTCATCCTTCACACAATGATTAATTGCTTCACTTCCAAGCACTATATTAGCACTATTAATTATTTGGATTATTAATGGATCTGTGCTAAAATGGGTCAGCACACTGTGCTCCAACTGGAAGCACTTTGGGATTGCCAAGAGCTGACAAATCCCACCAGGACTCTCCTGCTTCCAACCACTGAGTGCACGTGCTCACATTTGTATTTCTAAGTCTCATTTTAAACAGTCCCTGCTTTAAAGTCAGTTTTATTTATGCATAGAGTTGGGAGTTGTAAAACACGTCCTGTGTCAAAGTCTGCTTTGAGTTTTTGCTGTTTAAAAGCTCCAGAGCAGGAGCTGGAAATGGCATTAAATAGAAACCGAGTGATTTGGGTAAGACACTCCTTTAGCTTCATGTTTAATTGGTTTTTTTTTTAGCTTCATCTACATTCTCAAATTTAATTTATGAAGAGACATGGAAAGACAAGAGGAGAACTGACCATAAACCCCAGAGCAGGGACAGGAGGGAACTTCTGCCAGGTGAGCAGTGCCAAACCACCCACATGATTTTACAGCCTCTGGAATTCTTGAGGTCTTTCATGGTATTATTTACATCTGATGATTTTTCTTCTCCTCCTCCACTGATCAAACAAATGGGGGGAATTTTCAGGTCTTCTCAGTGACAAGAGTTGATTTATTCTATTTTCCTGTATTGTCCTGGGCTCAGAGCAGGAGCTGAGCTGCACTGTGATCTTTGTGGGATCTTTATAAAAATACACCCTGAGGACACCCAGACCCTCAAAAACTACATGACACCTACCACAAGACAGCTGAGAGGTGAAGCTGAAGGAAATCATACCCAATGAGAAAATAAAATACATTTAAAGATTTTGAAGGGAAAACCAGAAAGAGGCAGGGGAAGATTTGATATTTTTCTTCTCAGGTAAAACAAAGTTGCTCACTTACTTGGGATGGTTGTTCTGCCCAGATTCCAGCAAGACAACTTTGCTCAGAATTAGTCAAAACTCAGGATCTCTGCTGTCCCCCATTTACACCAATGTATGACAACATTGCAGAGGGCAGTGGAATGAGAGCTGAGCTGTGCTCTGTTCACAGCTCCTCCCAATGACCAAATAAACCCTTTGGAATCAAGGCAAGCATCCTGTTGGTCCTTAGGTGCTGGATTTCATTTTACTTGATGCCCTTAGTCTCTAGCCAGTTAATAACTCCCCTCTGAAGGTGCACAGGGGTTTCCAGCACATCCCTGTAAATCAGCAGCCCTTCAGAAGGCTTTAAAAAAACCTGCTGCTTTGGTCAAATATTGCATTTCTGGATTACAGGGGTGCCTGAGGGGAGGAAGAGAGAGAAGGGACTTCTGAGGCTGCATGGAAAGCTCAGACAGCAAACAGATTATTTTGTTCTTTGAGGGATGTGACTGTGAGACAGGGCTTATCAACAGAATTCCCAGTTCCCACGTGAAATATCTTGATAAGTCTTGAAGTACAATCTTGCCATAAGCAGCTTTTCCTCGGGCAGGGGAAGTGAGCAGCAGTGATTGAGCAGTCAGGTAATCCTGCCCTGAGCTCCTGGGCCAGGGCTGGCTGCACACCCAGCCTGCAGAGCATCCCCTGCACTCACACCCCTGGGGTGACTCTAAAAAGGGGGAACTGATCTCCTCTTTGGGGATTTTGGTGCTGTTTGAATGCTTAGAAGGCAAAAAGGAGCAAAATTGTATTTAGCTAGGTCAGAGAACAAGAGACCTCGAGAGAAATGTCTCTGTAGGTTGAGGTTTTTTAGCCAGTATTAGGCTGGAATGGTTTGGGATGGAAGAGACCTTAAAACTCATGCAGAACCAGGGCCAGGGACACCTTCAGTGTCCCAGGTGCTCCAAGGCTTGTCCAACCTGGCCTTGGCACTGCCAGGGATCCAGGGGCAGCCACAGCAAATCTGGGAATTCCATCCCAGCCCCTCCCCACCCTCCCAGGGAGGAATTCCTTCCCAATATCCAAATCCACCCACTGACAGTTTAAATCCATTCCCTGTGTCCTGTCCCTCCGTGCCTTGTCCCCAGTCCCTCTCCAGCTCTCCTGGAGCCCCTTTAGGACACGGAGCCTTCTCCAACTGCACATTCCCAGCTCTGATATCTGGGAATTCCCAGCCACAAAGCGCAGGGAGGCTCAGGGACAATCCCTGGCCGAGGATTCCCCACTCACCCGTCGGAGCCGGGCCGGGAGGGTGTGCTGTCCGAGGACAGGGACGACACGGAGGCCACGGACAGGGGCCGGGATGACGAGGGCATGGTGAAGGATCTGACCATGGAGCGGGGCCGGCTGCCCCGCCGCTCCTCCAGGCTGGACAGCTGCACCGAGAAATGACACACCTTAGTGCTTCGGTCCCAAAAATACCCCACAGTGCCAAAGGGAATGGGGGAATATCAAATCTTAGTGCTTCAATCCCAAAAATACCCCACAGTGCCAAAGGGAATGGGGGAATATCAAATCTTACTGCTTCAATCCCAAAAATACCCCACAGTGCCAAAGGGAACGGGGGACAGCACTGTGGATTTCTGTCCAGGTAGAGTTTGGCATCATTGATAATAATGACCAATATCTCATGTTGTCATTAATAAATTAATAACACTCAATACCTCATGTTATCATTGAGAAAATAGTAACAATCAATACCTCATGTTATCATTGAGAAATTAATAACAATCAATACCTCATGTTATCATTGAGAAATTAATAACTAGTATCTCATGTTATCATTGAGAAATTAGTAACAGCAAATACCTCCTGTTATCAATAATAAATTGGTAACAACCAATACCTCAGGTTATCACTGAGAAACGAATAACAATCAATACCTCCTGTTATCATTGATAAATTAATAACAACCAGTCCCTCATGTTATCATGGAGAAATTAATAACTAATATCTCATGTTATCATTGATAAATGAATAACAAGCAATACCTCATGTCATGAAGAATAAATGAATAACAACCAATACCTCCTGTTATCATTGATAAATTAATAACAATACCTCATAAAACCAACAAAGAAATAGGATCTAAAGGCAATCTGCCTAAAGGATTAGAAAGAAATATTTATTTATATTTATATATTTATTTATACTTTTTAATATTTATTTCTATATTTATATTTATTTATCTGTATTTAGAAAATATTTCTATATATAATAATTTATAAATTATAAATTATGTATATATTTATAATATATTTATAATATATATTATTTATTTATTTATATATATATTATACATCTCCTCACAGGCAGATGTATAATTTTAAGCATATTCCTAGAATTCCTTTGTTCCAATGGTATTTCCATGCTTTTTTTCATCTTTACAATTTTTGTTTAAAAACCCCAATCTTTTTCCATATAAAAACCCCAATCTTTTTCCATATAAAAAACCCAATCTCTTTACACATAATTTTTTAATCTTTGCCATCGTTGTCACTGCCCTGTCAATATATCTCAATGAAATGGGCTTCATAAAAAGCCAAAAAAACCCAAAGTAAAAACCCACAAAGAGAAACTTTATGTTGAAAATATCAGGAGAGCCAATTTACAGAGTGACACCAGGTTAAGAAGAAAATAGATGAAAGTTTTGGTTTTGTTTCAGACAATTTCAGAGTTCTGAATATTTCTCCAAGCTTTATTAGTCATTAATAACTGATATATGCATAAAATAATTGAACTCTTGCAGTCAACAAATAAGAATCTCATGCTGTTTAATTACAGGTATATTTTCCACCCTGTCAACTACTGGTAAATTGGCCTTGTACAAGGAAGACAGAAGTGATAAAACTCCATCAATCCTGAAAATTCTTACTGGTGTGTGGAGTGAAATTAGAGAGATAACACCACTTTCCAGTCATCTCCTTGATGATGTAAATGGATATTACTGAAGTGACTGACATGCAGGTATCATTAATGTTAATTATTTCTGTTCTCTTTGGGAATAAATTACTGTTTGAACGTTTTCCTGAATATATAAATTCCTAAGATGGGATTTGAAGGAGCACAAACAGAACATGAGTTAAAGGATACCACAAAGGCTGCAATGTTCCCTCTAAGATCTCAGTGTCCCCATTAAAAAAAAAGATGTCATTGCCATAGGCAGAATCCCAGAATTATTTAGGGTGGAAAAATCTTCTGAGGTTGAGTCCCAGCTGTGCCCAGTCCTCACCTTGTCCCCAGCCCAGAGCACAAATGTCACATCCACTCATTGCTTGGAGACCCACAGGGATGGGCACTCCAAACCTGCCTGGGCAAATTCCTGCTGGTGTCCAACCTGAGCCCCCCTGAGGTTGTTCCCTCTCCTCCTGTCCCTGTTCCCAAATCCCAAATCCCCCCCAGCTGTCCCCTCCTGTCAGGGAGTTGTGCAGAGCCACAAGGTCCCCCCTGAGCCTCCTTTTCTCCAGGCAGAATATGAGCTCATTATAGCACCCAATCCATGCATTTGTGACTGAATTATCAATTCTACCCTGAATTAAAAAGCTGTTTGCTTTATTTGTTCTGACCTTCACACTCAACACTCAAAAGCAGAACAAACCTCCAGTGGAAACACCATGAAATTCTTGGCTTTCCCTTAAGGATGAAGCAGCAACTGGAAATAAGTTGCTGGAATGAGAAAAGCAGGAATTTCAGTCCTTCTAAACTCATGAAGTGGGAGCTGTGGTTGTCTTGCCTGTCGACATTCAGTGTAGGTACAACCAAAAACTACCACAGAGCAGCACAGCCCTCCCTGCCCTAAAGGAATTCCTCCTAGGGAAAAGTGACATTCAGCTCAGGAAGAATCCTGCTAAGTGCCCATTTTAAACTTCATTTTTGTAACCCAAATCCTTCAGAAATGAAGGATTATCTTGACTTTCAAGGAACAGACTGGGGCAGTTTAGAAACTGTTCCTCTGTTTGGAAATGAAAGCAGCAAGGCTTCCTCAACCTCCCTCATCTGCTCAGTATTCCATAATTTGATGATCACTGGGAACAACCAGCAATGCTGCATCTACATTGCTTTTTTTAATCAGTGGAATCATCATATGGGGATAGAGAGTTGCTGTAATTTAAGGGAATTCCAGATATTGTGGAAAGGAGAAACTGGGAGGGAACTTACGATGGCACGGACCCCGTACTGCTTCTCCACCTTGTCCTTGAGCTGCCTGAAACACGCCTCCATCCTCTCATGGAATGGCCTCAGGGCCTCTGTCACCTTCTCCCCGTGGATCCGGATGCCTTCAGCCAGGAATGGGATCTGGAAAAGAGGATTTGGCTGCTCCACCCTGCCCAGCCCTTCCTGAGCAAAGGGACAGGGCAATGCTGCCACAGCAGGGAAAGAGCTCGTGCACTAATGACAATATTAGGAATAAGAGCAGTGGTGATAGTAATTATAACACTAATAATAATAAATAACAACAATAACAAAATATTTTAAATGAAAAGAATTATTATCATGATCACAGGAACCATCATCACATCATTCCTTGCATATGATGCATGACAGGATCTAAACTCCTCCTCTCCAGGATTTCCCTTTTTTTTTTTTTTTTTTTTTCTGTTAAGCAAAGTCCTTTAAATTTAATACAGCCCTAATTGTGCCCAGAAATCCCCTACTGGATTTATCCCACAGCACAAACCCTCCTGTGATATTCCATTCTCAAGCTCCCATAGACTTTGTACTTGAAAACACCAAACTGATGAATGATGAGTCTCACACCACGTTATTAATATCAAATCCTTTCCCAGTTCCATGAGGATAAAACCCTAAAGAATAAAATAGTTTATGTTTTCTTTAATAAATGCTCTTTCTAAAGCTGCAAATGAGCTCCATCCTTGGACAGATATATATTGCAGAGCAATATTTATTAATAAAACATACAGGTTTAGATGCTATATAGTTCTCCTTAGAAAAATTATTTTATTTTCTCTGGGAAGAAAACAGAAGAGGGAAAAAAATTAAATTAATTCTCTTTTGTAACTGAAAATAATCATTTATCTTCAAGGCTTCTGTCACAAAATATCCATGCCAGCACAGGATTATATAATTAGTTCCTAGTGTGGAGGTGTAGCTGACCTTTGGAAATGTTTTAAGAGAGACATTTTCATTCCCACAGCTATCCACACACACCATTAGAGTTTTCTACCTCCAGCTCAGGAAAAATATTTCCTCTTCCAGGTCCGTTTCAGCCCACACAGTGCTCTGATTCTAACTCAGATATTCTCTGCAGCAATCAAGCTAAGAGGCTTCTTCTTAATAATTCATAATTAAATCATAATACTGATTAAAAACAGATTTTTCTAATAAGACTGAGCTGCAATCAGAAGGAGCAGCTTTATTAGTAAGGAGAATAATAAACACACAGATGAATTACAGATGAACAAACTCAAGAAATCTTATCAAGATGATTCCCTGAGATTTGGCACTATTTAAATGGACAATGCTGCTTCTCCAAAGAGACTACAAAGAGAAAGGACTTTATTTTTTTTTTTAATGTAGTGGCTTTTATTTATAACCATATGGATTTGCATGTGACAAAAATTAAACATGAAACCAGAAAGTTTTCCTGCTCTCAATGAGTAAACAAATTTCTAAATCTTCATAATTACCAGGCCACAGTGACCCTCCTGTTTGGGGGTAAGTGGTCACTTGGCTCATTTATTTTTAAAGAACTGTTGACATTGGAAATGGATTCTTCTTAAAAAACCCCTGGAATTACCATGCTGAAGGACAGGAGGGGTCTGAGGTGAGAGCTGATAGCTCAGACCCCTCTGTGACCATTTCATGGGCAGAAAATGCAACGAGGAACCTGTCCTAGGGATCAGCCACCTCCAGGTTGGAAAATCAGGAATAGGAAGTAAATGACATTATTTGTAGGGGAAAAAACGTGGGGGCAAGGGGAAGGGAGAGGGGGAAGAGGAAAGGGGAGGGGAAGGAGAAAGATGGAGATGGGTGAGGAGGAGAAGGAG